ACCCTATGGCGAATTACTCCACCATCACTAGATTCCATCCCTCGACAAATTCAAGGCCAATGCATCAGTGCTCCATTATTGGACGACGTCACACAAGTCATCAACGACCTATTTTGCCTCTACTCTGGCCACGGCGCTTCTACAATATCTCTACCCATGAAATCATGGAATCATCAAACCATAAAAGAAAAAACCATAACTTGATTACTATTTCAGGTTTGACGTCGGTACTGAATATTGGAAATTTCTTAAATCTTATGGTATGCGGTATAAAAGAGGAATGAATTACACTTCAAAGTGCGAGATTGCAAATACACATATTAGAGAAGAATCGACAAGTGAAAAATTTTAGGGTTAATCTCATTTTGCACCTCGAAAGATTGTTCAAATTTCAATTTGCACCCTCAAAGATCAAAAATCTCAATTTACACTCTCAAAGATAGAAATTTGTATCAATGTGCACCCCCAAAGATCAAAAATCTCAATTTGCACCCTCAAAGATAGAAATTTATATCAATATGCACCCCAAAGATAAAAAATCTCAATTTGCACCCTCAAAGATAGAAATTTGTATCAATGTGCACCTAAAAACTAAATTGATAAATTATACCTAGATCCCCTCATACTTGTCACTTAATCATTTAGACCTCTTCACATTTAGAATATTACTCCTACATCTTATGACATTTGTGCAAGTATAACACGTAACCCATTTTCATTGATATCTATTAATATAACCGTTAAAAAATATAATTTCATATTACCCTTTATTTTATGGGTTTAATATATTCTAAAGTTCAAAATCTAGTTTATCATTTGAATGTCTAATAAAATGTAAATATTTATATAATGTTTTTCATATTACCTTTTATATAAATATCTACATTTTATTAGACATTCAAATGGTAAGCTTGATTTTTAACTTTAGAGTATATCGAATCCACAAAATAAAAGGTAATATGAAATTATATTTTTTTATTATGATAATCATATTTTTTAATAATTATATTAACAGATATCAACGAAAAGTGGTTATGTGTTACACATGCACAAACGTCATGAGATGTAAGGGGAATATTCTAAATGTGAAGGAGTTCAAATGATTAAGTGACAAACAAGGGGATCTAGGTATATTTATCAATTTAATTTTAGGTGCACATTGATACAAATTTCTATCTTTGAGGGTGCAAATTGAGATTTTTTATCTTTGGGGATGCACATTGATACAAATTTCTATCTTTGAGGGTGTAAATTGAGATTTTTGATCTTTAGGGGTGTAAATTGAGATTTGAACAATCTTTTAGGGTGCAAAATGAGATTAACCCAAAATTTTACATACACAAAATTTTTGCATTAACGAAATTTTGTATTGTATGAATCCAAATCGACGGTCGAGTAATTTTGACGATGTCATGCACGCTTTGATTGTTTTCAATCTCAAAGAAGAACGCTTTCAAGAGCTTCCATAGTCATCGATGAGGTCGAGATAAGGTAAATTCACTCTAAGTTGTGGGTATTAGAGAACGAGGGTAAAAGAGAGTTAAGACCAATGTTCATAAACAAACCATCAAATCTGCATTGAAAATGAAGTTTATAATCGTATAAAATGATGGAATAATTCGAACTCTTATTGGCCAAATTATCTCATGTTGCTAAAGCTCGCCCCATCATTACTTGTACATGACAAACGTTGGTGATGCACAAAATTGGTGTGCACACCACTTGTTATGGTAGAGGAGGCTTTTGAATGACCTTTACTCTAAGGTGGTAGAGGAAGTTTTTGGACGACCTTGCTCCAAGGTGGTAGAGGAGGCTCTTAGATGATCCTTACTCCAAGGTGGTAGAAGAGGCTCTTGGATGAGCTCTTAGACGACTCTTTGTGCTCCTCTACTAATGTAACTCTTGAAATTTTATGACCTTGACTAAGTACAGACTCCTTTGAACTTAATTAATTGAATCTCTTAGAATTGAATTCTTGGACTTATAACATGAGTCGGGCGTTTAACTTGGCCCATCAAACATAGACATGTTTTTTCGGTCAGCAATCTTCCATTCGGTGAGATATTATTAAATCTATCAAGAAATAATACAAATAAAAACCCTAGGAGTATGGCCTATGTTGCATTCACATATCCTTTGATGACACTGTGTTTGTCGGTCCCCACCAAAACCATAGCCTCCTTCATCGGAAATTTGTCCGTCACCACCATGAAAGCTATGATATTCAACAACCCTCATCAGCTTCCATAAATCTTTCTTAATGACAAAATCAAAGAAATATTATGGTAAGTTGCTGGGTTTTTTTTTACCAGAGTTTCAGAAGGTTTTTGTAGTTGGGTTTTTGTTTGGTTTTAGAAGAGACCATTCATCGGCTTCTGTTGAAGTGAATTTTTCTTTGACCAGAGTTTCAAAAGGGATTTTGAAACATCACAGACCATTGTACTTGTTTTGATTCTGTGGATTCAAATGAGCTCTTGGGATGTTAATTTGACAAAAAAAAATTCTGCAATATGTTCTTGGGATGGAATCATTTATGTTTGAGAAAAAAATTTAAAGGAATGATAATATGAGAATTTTTTTAAAAGATTTAAGTATAAATTTGATTTTACCATCACAGAGGTTTATACTTAAATTAAGTTTTTTTACTTTTTTTTTTTAATATAAATTTGAGTTTGAGTTTGGACACCACCTTCTGCATGTCCATTGAATGCAAACTTCTGCGGGGTTGTTCTGGTGCAAGGATGACTAAGAAGGTCGAGTCCGGGGAGGCGGTGATAGGTGTTAAAGTTGTTGTTATGAAGGAGGCAACGTGGTTTTGTAGGGATAAAGGTGTGTTGCAGATCAGTTTGGAAGGGGACTCCATTCAATTTTTGCGTTTAATCAAGGAATTAGAAGCTCAAGAAAGTATGGGTTCTATGAATGAAAATCCTGGAAATGTAATGACAGAAGGAGCTACTAGAGTTTAGTTCGTACGAAATATCTATGGTTCGAAGAAATGAAAATAGAGTGGCTTTTAGGCTAGCCAAGCAAACGAGGTTTATTGAGATTGTTTTTGTTTGGAATAAGAGAGTTCCAGATTTTTTAATGTCTTTTCTTTTTCATGATACTCTTTGATTAATAAAATACACCACTTTCTATTCAAAACATCAAAAATAAACATGATTTATACGTGCACGAAATCGAATATACACAACTATAAATATATCGCATATGAGTTTAATAAACGAATTGATTAGTACCGTTGAAATGGGAGCGTCACCGATATTAAAATTCAATAAGAAAAGGTGCTAAACAATGTGGCTGCTGGGATTCGAGCCCAGGTCTCCACGGCCACAACGTGGAATTCTAACCACTAAACTACAGCCACTTTGTTTTAAAGGTTTTCTGTAATATATATTTATAGTAAATTAATAACTTCACTACGCTGAATTTAATCGTAATTTATATTTGTGGATACTGGGAATTCTTCTGACACCAATTTGAGAAAATCAAAAAGTATAAAAAGAATGAATAAACTTCACTTTACCTCCAAGTAATTTTTAAAGAATGTGATTTTAACGGTCCACATGTCAAATAGGTAAAATCATTAGAACCATCAAATAAATTGATCAATACGAAGTTATTTGACTTTCGCAAAATAGCAAAATAAAAAAAAAACACTCAAAAGAAAAAAAGGATTTTATCCTATTTAACCTGAGGACTTACACGTGGGATTAGAGAGTTAATAGGTGTATAAGAAAATATTTGAAGGCAAACATACTTTTTTTTTTTTTGCTACAAAGTATTTAGGTTTGTGCCGATTACTTTATCAAACTTGATGAATAACATCAAAAATCCATTTGATATTTTGAAATTGAATTTCAGGTTTGTTTTGAGAAATGCAAACCAGGCAGCGAATTGGGTGACTAAATCAATGAACAGAGGCTTACTTCATTGTAATTGGATTTACAATCCACCTGTTGAGCATAAGACAATTTTGTTAACAGATAGTCTTTCTAGTGGCTATTAATGAAAGAGCCGAGACCCAAAGGTTCAAAAGATACAAATAAAAAAAAAAAATTATTCCCTCAATCTTAGCAACTGACTACCAACACTTAAACTAGACTAGAACATGTCCTTAAAGAAAAGAATAACTAACCCTTAGGGAGTATGAAAAGAGATTAAACCTGAAAATCAATGAACCACCCCTAGGCCCCGAGAGTTGGCAAACGTTGAAATTTTTTAAATCTACAAGAAAAATGTCCACCAACAAAATGTAACCCCTACTATTATTGCTAGATCCACACTTAAAAATAACACAAACTCTAAGCTCGAGAAATAAATACGTCCGAGGTGATATCAACTCCTTTATTTTAACATGACAGACCTATTTAATTTCAACAAGTCACCCCATATGGACATTGTTTAATGAACCCATGATCTTCTCATCTACACCGACCAAGAAATCTTTTCTGCTAAATCAAACATACCATATGTGTATGCCTACTCAGTCTATAATATAAAACACGATAAATTTTAATAAGTTCATCCAACAGTATTAAACAAATTATTTTAATGGCCATCAACATCTCTTTCAAAATCATTCATATTAAATTTTTTTCCTCCTCTAAATCCATCACTTCTCGTTTACCGTACCTTCCAGCTCAGTTACCCCTAGTAAATTATAAATTCAATCAATTTAGATTCTAGTAAAAGCAATTCGAAATATTTCTAACTTGTTTTCACGGGTTATGCATTTTAGCTTAAATACGACACTATTAATAAACAAGTCTGGTTAACATTAAATCATTTAACGTGAATAATTCAACATGTTGAGTCAAACTTGACTAATGGTCAAGATGAACTACCCTATCCCCCCCCCCCCCTGTTTTTCCCAAAAAAAAAATGTGAAACAAAAAGAAAACAACAACAAAGCCATTTTCATTGCTTTGCCTCCGCACACAAATAGAGGAACCTTTTAAAGGAATCACAAAGTCGTACCATCACGCAACCATTTCGTACTATGGGTTCACCTGCAATGGACTAAAAGCTCCATTTTCCGTCTGTTCCGAGGATGAAGGTTTCGGGGGTTTATTTTTTAAGAAGCTTCTTGCATAAAGGGAACCAAAGACGATAACCTGATCCATAAATCCAAAGAATAACATTTGAGCTCCTGAAAATCTATATTGAAATAAAGAAGGATTCAGACAAATGCTTACAGCTCCGATACACTGTTCCCAGCTGAGGGGGTGACCAAACCAAACGCAAGAAATCAGAATGCTCACCAACTATATAAACAAAGAGAATTTTAAGGGGCATTGTCAATTCGGATTGCAGATAGGAAGAGCAAAAGGGAAGAGATGGAGCCTCAGTTACCTGTCTTGTGGTCATTATGGTGGCAAATGTGAGGGCACCAAATGTGCGGATAGTGTAGTAAATGAAGAATTGACTAGCTGTTGCTACCTGCAATGAAAATTCTAGTTAACATTTTTGCTCTGTCAGATGGGGCAATGGGCATGTACTTGATTCGTGTATGTGAGATGGTTATGTTTGTAAACACATGACAACCGAGAGTCAGAAGGAGCACATAGAGAACTTGGAATCCTATTCAAAGCAGTTAAGAATCGCACTGTTGTAAAGATCACCTACCGTTGACAGCAGTGCAACATCAAGGAAACAATCGGTATTGCGAGATACAAAATCTATTGCCATGAGGAGATGGCCCTGGAGAATTAGACCTAAATAGAAACAGAAAAGGCCAACATAATCGATAACTGACAGCTGAAATGCAACCAAAGCAGTTTTAGGAGTAATAATGCATATTCATACATGAAAAGAAAAGAATTAAAAACTCAATAAATTATTTCATCCAGGAATGGTGGAAATGACAAAACAGCGGAGTTTCTATTTCATTTCTATTCATGAAATGCCATGAATTAGTTTCACTTTGAAAGCGACTGTAGGTCGGGCAAAGTCAGAATCTGCAATGTGGAGCCTGTCTCGTTTCCAAAATTTGTAAAACAATTACTCATCCTAGGTGACCTAGGTTTGGTTGAGCAAACTCTCCTAAATCCTTGTTGCACCATTTATAAGTACACTTGTATATTGTATTAATCTATACTATTTATAAATGTCAGCATCTATTAAAAACTTTTGATTTCCTATTTTGTCCCTAATTATTATAATAAAGTCAATTTATATCCACCTATATATTTGCTTCCAATTTTTACTTTTACACCTATTTGACTTTCAACTTGTTTTTGACTCTTTTATAAGGACTTTTAAATTATTTTGAATTCTTTTACAATTACATATAATTATCTATATCTATATGAAGAAGAAAAGTCCTATATATATTAAATTATTATACATGTGTAGTTATCTATATGTTGTTTTTATTTTGTGATATGCAATAAAATAATAATAATATTATAAGTGATCTAATTAATCTATTTAACAAAATTAAAAATTAATAATTCTATAATATAATTAGATGTACAAATGTTTAAAGGAGACGAAAAAATATCTAAATAAATGACAAATTAATTACTTAAAAATTTATAAAATAAGTCAATAATTAAATTTAGTAATAATTAAAATATAAATTAATTATTTGACACTTAATTTATTATTTAATTTAATTACACATAAAATTCACATTTTCTATAAAAATAATATTATTTAAAATTATTTACGTGTGTATCATAAATGCAATCAACCTCATTGTTCATATGTTAAATAGTGAAACCACAAACCTCAAAGGGGAAGTTTTAGCTCAATATGACCATTTCCAAGCCAATAAATAGAACACTTGTGTTTACTAATCCAAGAATAGAGGCAAAAGATAATGGGAATCGGCACAACCATAACGCTTTTGTTTGTGTCACCACTAAAGAAACATTATTAATCAAATGCTATTTTATTATGATCTTAAATCTTTTTTATTCCGATAAATTTCTAACTTATTTCTCAAACTATCGTTATCTTTATGAAAGTGTGGTTCAATATAGAAATGTGTTCGCAAAACACGCTTTCCAATTATTCAGTTAGAAAGTATAGTATCGAAACAATAAAGTTGAAAAAAGACCATAGATTGGGATAAATAAGTCCATATTGTCTCCTAACAATCAATAAGAACCATCAATTCATGATACTACAGAAAGGCAAGAGTTTAAGAAAGTGTTTAGGGTTTCATGAGATTCAGATAAAAGGGAATTACCACTCAAGCTGAGCATACAAGAGCATAGTGTGGTGTAGAATATCTGATTCTGTATTTCCATATCATAACCTTTGAATAATTTATCCTGGAATGTGCTTGTAAAGCCATCAAATCTGTGGGGCATAAAAAAGAGAAATCAAAATCATGGGAAAAGAACAGCGATTCATCTTCCCCTTCATACTTTCTTGGGTCATCTGGATGGTAATATATTAAACTCATACAGTTGATGAGAAGCAAATGGCAATTATCAATGCTCATGCAGCAATCTGAAGAACAGGTGAAAGAATTGGTATATTTAAACTGCAGAGGGTTTTCCCATGATGGGGAGGGGTTTTTTTTTTTGTGGGTGGGGGGTTGAAGATGGGGAAGGAGAATATATAATGGAATTGATACCCAAGATAGCCAATCATCAAGGAAACACCCCACACTGTGCTTTCTCTTCCTCTTCCTCTACCATAAGGATTGATATCAACTGTTGCCTGCAGTTAAAAGCAATGCACCAAATAATTCAACTTATATCAACAAGCCACAAGATTTTATCAGCACCTATCATCTCTTTGAAAACACATCTTCCAAAGTTTATCATGGACTTCCATCTTGGATTAGTCCCTAAAGCAAAGGTTTCAAGATGAGACCTATGTCAACTCCTATACTAGAAAGCCATAAAACACAGAAAAAGACACCTGATATGTCTTCCAAACAAAATACATTACACCTGGGACAAATACACAAATAAACAGAGAAAGGCATATCTAATAAAGGAAGGAAAACAATATTCTCGACATTTGCTTTCCAGTCAGCACATACCAAAACTCACTATCAAGTCTCCACAAACACTTCTGCTTATCAAAGCACTCTGTAGCATACTTCAATGACATAATATCAATATTCCCCAGCAAAAAGTTCAAGAACCTCTAACTACATTAAGTGTTCTGTGATCTCATGCTCCATCAGAATGGCTTTCTTTGCTTCAGTGATAGTTCAGAACATAAACCTTACTTTGGATCTTTTGATCAAATTAAGCAGTGCATCTGAGTAGCAAATGCAAGACTATAAATGTTAACCACCAATGAATCGCTTTAGTAATGTATTACTTGGTGGCTTAACATGCATGGGATGTTTTTCTTTCCACCATCCCCTTATCTTTCTGCAGTGTATATGACATGTTTTCGAAGAACCCGTTCAAGCAATATTTTCCAGTTGGTGCACAAAGGTCATTCCAGGTTACACATTTCTTTTGGACAACTGCTCCTACGAGCCTTTTCTAATGGGCATTCTCCAAGTGTGTAAATTAGCTGTATCTATAAAAGGACCCTTGCTCAACAAGAAAAGTTGGTTTACTTGGATTGCATATGGTTTGAATCTTTTGGTAGGCCTTACAATACCTTTAGATTTGGGTGTCCAGCGTTGCTTAATTGAAAGAGGTAGGGGGTGGAGGGCTCAGAATCAGTGGATTGGTTGGTTAGATTATCCTATCTTATATCTGCTTGCCATGCTCCTCTAACCCTCCATGAAGGATTCTGTGGTCTTTCAGGAATTAATCATCATGGTGTTGGCTATATGTATTGTACCTCTGTTGCTGCTTCTTTTTCCTTCTGAGCGAGTCCTGACCTTTCTTCATGTATTTTCTCACTTCCTAACAAATTCATCATTTCCTTTCCCAAAAAAATAAAAGTCACAGCTTTAAGATATAATGTAGTAGCCAACGTCTAATTTAATTTTGCAATATCTTATCGTTAGAGTGGATAACAGGTGTAATTGATGTCACTGATATGTATGAGTATTTTTGTTCAGTGGATCTATTGACCTAACATACAGATCGTTTAAACAACTAATTTGGGTAAAAAAGGACCTTAGCATACCATCATTTCATGTAGCACATATTTATGTATATGCACAAACAACCTTGCCCACCATTTTCTACGAGAATCACAATGTAATGCTTGATTGTATCATTTATAGAATAAGTTTCCAACTGGTTATATAATTTTCTAACAGCTGCAACTGCTGTGTGCTCAGGTGACAATTCTGCAGCTTACCTGAGTTGTCCAAGAAGTAGTTTTTTGTCCATCAAGAAAAAACTGACTTCGAGTTCCGAAACACTTGAGTAATTACAAAAAAGTATGAGATTCCACAGGTTTATAGCTCTAATACAATGATGTGTGGGGATAGCCATATTATGTAAGTACCAATACACTGATGATACAAATTATCTTGACACACAGCTTGAAAATACATCATTCCTGATCCCTAACTACCCTAAACGGAAACACATTTCAATGGTCATGCATTTGTTACTAAAGGAATATAAGGATGATATTTTTACCGGATATAGAATAAATAATTGAACACCCAATGGTCACAAAAAAAAGCCACAAGTAGTCATCGTCCCTTGTATTTCTTTTTGCATGATGACAGCACCCCAAAGCTGCATAAATAATAAAATGAAAACGAGTCAAAAAGTCAATCACTCACTATGGTAAACTAAAAAATGAGTGAACCAACATTCAGAAGGATCATGGCAAATGTAGGCAAGAAAAAAATGAAGATAATTAGCAGCATAGCAGGTGCAACACAAAGAAGGGATACAATTAATAAACTTAACGACCAATTGACTTCTAGCTGGAACTACAGTTATATTGGATGGTCCCCCTCAAAAGGGGAAAGAAGGTTAAAGCTAAAAGAGATGATTAAACAAAGCCATTTCCAAACTTCATGTTCC